ATGGGCGCTGGCCGCTACGCCACTAGTATTCTCTCCGCAGGCTGGAGCATCGTTCAGGATGAACTCGTCTTCACTCTTCAAGCTTCAGCGTCGGTCTAAAAGCCCGTGGCAGCCGACATCACAATGCGCGCCCATATATGCGTCCGAGTCGATGAGATTCGACCACAGGACTCCCAACCTTCAGTGTGTATCGGGCGTTTAAGGCGCGGCTATGGGCCCATGGCGTTAGCGTCTGCTCCATCAACGTGTGCACTTGGGCTGTCTTCGCTTTGAGCCGCGATACTCTCATCCATCCTTGGGACTCGGTTTCAACTCACTTGCCGGATGATTGGGATATGTTTTGTGCTTGCCAATCGACACTCCTTCCGAAAAGCCTACAGGCTATCGTGCGTTGTTCTGCTTAGAGACTGCATGTATATGAAACTCTTGGATTGTGGAGACCCATGGTGAACCGGGACGTGGTACGCGTCGATGTACCTGGTATGGTCAAAGTGTGTCGCCTATTGACATTCTGTTGGATATAAGGCAGCGGGTAGTCCACTTATCTTCGTCCGTACACCACCATCCCTTCCTGCGTGACCTATCCGGCGCTAGATCCTATTCGCATGACTGTGTACTACGAATCCGAGATGGGACTTCGAAACCAAACATCGGTTGAGATCGTCAAGAGTCTGGCGAATATCCGGGTCTTCCCTCTGTATCTAGAGACCGCTCTACTCGGTCAGTTCCTGTTCTACCAAGGTCAAGCTTACACACCACTGACAACTCATGCTGCTGATAGCCATCTTCACGATTCAAACGTCCTACTTCGTGTATCATGAGTGGTATGTCGCGCCCTAGCGGGTCTCGAAACGACTATCGGTCTATCATTCATGTTGCATTCCAGCCGCATCGCAGCCAAGAGTACTCTTCGGAGGACGTACCGTCGTGGTATGCTCTGCCTAGCAACGTTTTTATATCTCTTGGCCGTGGTATACTGGACTCTCGATATCGTCATCTTGCGGCAAGAACTGCTTGTGTTCGTACCAGGACAAATGTCCCTGACGCAGAGGCCGGATGTCGTCGTTGTTCTCCCGGAGCTTGTCGGCATGTATTGGTACGCTCGTGCCACAATGCAGTTGATGATCGTGAGCTATGCGCCCCTTTGACGAGTCAGTAGACTGATCTACGCTGCTAGTGGACCATCAGTGATTGTGTAGCACTATGGAGAGCGTATGCAGTACTGGGAAGGCCCGGATGGCTCAATATCGTCATACCACTCATCTTCGTCTGTGCAATCGGTGAAGACCTATGCTCTGACAGTCTGATTTACGCTGGTACTGATCGTTACCTTGCAACAGGTGCCCATGTCTGCTTCATAGTGCTCTATCTTCAAGTTCTGCCCGATCCTCCGCGATTTGTGCTCATCCTCTGGGAGTCAGAGTCTGCGCTCGTCGTAATTGCTTCGTTCTTAGCGGTGTCGTCGGTCACTGTAGCCATACAGACCTTCTCCACATCCTTGATCGCTTACAAAGCCTGGTGAGCTCTAGCTCTCACCCAACCAAACACGGTCCGATGCTTAATGGTGGCAAGCGTGATCTATAGAGAGCGGCAAGGATTGTTCCGTGGTCCAGGAAGAGCTTTTCGTATCCTGGCCGTCCTAATCGAGAGCGGCATCGGGTATATGTTGCTATGGGTACATCGTCACACCGCTTTGATGGTCGACTAGCTCACACCCTCGCCAGATATGGTTCATCGTCGGCAAAAACGGAGATGTATTCAATCTGGCTCAGTCTGTCTGGCCCGACTACTGCATCATGATGCTCACAGTGAGTGGCCGAAGACAGGCCATCATGCAGCGGCTTCTCTGACTACATTATCAGGCTATGTACCCCACTCTCGTTGTGATGCTGGTTACCGTGCGAGACTCCGTGCTCGTGAGCGCCGATAATCTGCCACTATCCAGACCCGGCCACTTCGAGACTCGCGAACTAGGTGGTGCCGCATCCAGCACTCCCTAACGTTCATATGCTAGAAAGACTCCCTAGGGAATCTCGGGCGATGTAAAGCGGTGGAAGGTCTTGCGACGCTTGTAGCGGGGTTTGAGGTGCAGTTCGGAACGAGTGAAATGGCGGAGGCATCCTAAGAGTACCCTCGGTTTGATGTGCCTAGTCTTCGCGTTCACGGTGGTGGGCGCGGACAGCACGCACAAGAGAACCCGCCTTCGGACTGGAACGAGGCGAATGACGCAGCGTGCAATGCAGGGCGAAGGAATTGTCTATTACCAGCTACATATCACATGATAGAACTTATTAAATCATCAACCTGGCGACATTCCTCGGTGCATCGACACGCTTGATGTTGCGAGTCCTGAATCATCCCCTGCTCCTCGTTCAGCATGTTGAACCACCGCCATACGATGAGAACCAGCCGCACGCGGGTCCAAGACCGTATCACGCCTGTATAGCACGTTGAGCAGTTGAGTCGACATTGACATCCATACATTAAGCACATACCGATGCCACAGTAGCCATAACTCGCGCTTCTCATGTCGATCAGGAGCGTTGCCGATGGATCATCACCTGAATGAGATGCGCACCACATTGCAAGTCACTTACTCGCCCTCTTAAGGGTGGCGTTCCCAGAGGTTTTGTCGGTGGCCTCAGGCGCGACGTGACTGCAGATTAGATTGCAATTGTTGGCGCGAATGACTATTGTACCAGTCTAACGGCATGTGAGTTGTGGAAAGAGTCGAATGCGCAGAGGTACGTACCCAGAGACTAGTCGGACGCGATGGGCCATGTACGCTAGGAGACGATCAGTATGCGATCAAGGCGGATGCAAAAACACGCACTAGTAGTCCACGCCGACGCTCAGGACCGCATACTCGCCCTTCTTCCTGACGCACGACTAGGAATATACTTCAGTGGTTGGTCGGCACCTGGAGAACATTTTATGGGATCTGTGGGTACTTCCACCGCGACGAGTACAAGAGGCGACATCACTGCTGGTGCTTCGTAAGAAGCCTCCATTGAAGCATCTGCTTCGGTGCGTACTAAGGATGGCGGTGGTCAATTGGTGAGGGACTGGTGAGGGACGAGATGACGCGCCCGGAATCGTGTGACAAGGCCGCATCAATCATTTATCTAATCAACCGCTGTCTCACTGCGCCTCTGGGCAGCAGCCCGCGCACCGTTCAGCTACTCGCTCTCTGGGGTGCCCCGTACACGCAAATGACGTTCGTGTGGATCGGACACCCTGGAAACGGGTTCACCGCCCGTCACCGCCCGCTCGCAAGCGCCATTAGGCGCCGTCATTTCGCAGAACAACTTCGGGCACCGCGCACGTGGTTCAATCGGCAGCCGCGTTTCCGCCTGTAGCGAATCTCCTTCTCGTCTTGCCTCTTACCACCGCATACTTCGAGGCGTATCATGGTATAAACGTGCTACCAACATGCTACAGCGTCGCTTCAGTCCTTACATTCGTGACTCGGTACGGGTGTGCCCTGTGACTAGGCTTGGCCCTCCATGTATCGGGCGAATTTCTTGTGCTTGTCATCTCCCTCGCGGTCCGAGGTCGTTGCGGCCAAATCGAGTTGGCGCGTCTCAAAACTGTCAGCGAATCTTTGGGGCGAATCTTGCCTTGATGCGCAGCGTCCACGAGACGGTGGTGCGAAATGCAGTATACTCGGTGACGAGATGGAGGCTATACTTCTCTCTAGGATGGCGAGACGCGCGGCCACTAGAACGATGACTCCGGTTGGATACATGGCCTGAAAAGAGTCCGCTATCTCATCGTCTGACGATCAGGGATGTCAGAACACTCACGAAAAGAGGGACCATGCAAGCTCCCAATATGTCCAAGATTTCATATTGTCTTGGCAGCTGCCTAGCAGCACTTACAGCAGCATAGCATATCTAATGTGAGACGATCAAATCTCACACCCGCCACCGAATGATAGAGATGCGGTGCACTCACAAGAGCGACAAAGTAGGCGACTCCCGTTTCAATGACAACGACAAGCATCGCAATGCTTTGCTGCGTACTGGAGAAGCCTAAGACGCCGCGAATATCTCTCCAGTGTGACCTGGAAAGCGCTCTTAATCTTCTCCCATCCGCGCTCTACTGAGGCCTCTATCCGCTCACCAGGCCTTATACGCGATCAACAGCGTACAGAGCAACTGTGCTGCTGCCACAACAGACAGACTGACGAGTTCGAGGACGAGAGCCTCGTGATCCGACAAGTCTGTCAGCGCCTGCTGAACGATGATCAGGATCCAAAGACCTGCGGTGACTGGTTCAGCGCAATCAGTAGGAATATCCGATTCTATGAACCCACCAAACTCGACTACAACAAAGGCCATCGCCAGAGCGTACACCCAACGCGGTCTCCCCGAGATGACGTACGCTCGCCACAAGGAAACGATGTCTCCAAGGGTCATCTATAGATGTTTACCCCATGCATCGTGCCACGCAACATTGCTTCTCACCATCAAGAATACCACAGGTAGCTGACCGGAAGTTACCAGCTTCTTGGTCGTCAGACCGAATTCGGCTTCATATACGCTATCAGATATCCCGGGATCCGGCAGTTCAGGGAGAATGCGTGCAGCATGCCATAGCTTGTATACGTCGATGATCCAGTACGTGCTGAACAAGCAGAACATGATGAGCGCTACGGCAATCATGAACAAGGATGTTGCTTCTTCCTGCCTCACCCTGCGCCATTGAAAGAGCGTAAGCGTCAAGGAACCATTAAACCTCCCGCGAACTCGGAAGTTGCCTACCATCTTCGGTAGAGGACATATACGGTGAGTATAGTACACAAGGCTGCCAATATCATGCAATCTTCCGTCAAGATCTGCCTCCGGCAACGATAACCGAAACAACTTACCGTAGAAGTACGTTTCCACGACCAGTGGGACTGCAACAATGACGATCAATCTGAGGATCGTGGGCATGCCAGTTAGAGGGAAGGTGAGAGTGGTTGGCCAACCAACAACACTGTACGATATCCTTATACTCCTGTCAGCCGCGATATGATCCTCGAACCTGACGCAATTGACCCTAATACCGCTCATAGAGGTGGAAGGTCTTCCTGAAGGACGATCCCGCTCTAACAGATAAACGTCTCCGCCGGTGAACGATGACGAAGATGTAGGCGTCCGTTCTCTCATGTCGCCCGAGATCTGTCATCATCACCCATGGCCAGCACGGCCGCCTACACTGCATCACATGCCGATCTCATCGAGCCATAAACTGTATTGGTGGAACGATCCACTGGGAACGATTGTTGATGGAGGCGCGATGCTCGCACACACGCGTTCTACATTCCAGAGTAGATACGTGTAGTCGAGAGACACGCCACTCTGTGACCCCATCGCGATCGGTTGCCAATGCCACCCAGAGTGGTGAAGATGGTGCGCGCGAATCGAAATCCGCTGTACGTCACTGCCTCAAAGCGCTCCTTCTGCTACTTCATCCTGCAATCAAACGGCCATCCTACCCGTTTCCGTCCTGCCCCCAGATGCCGGATGATGCACTCGTTTGCCGCGGCAGGGTCGCGAACACGACCAGTGGCAACATACAGGCGAGTGCTTATCCTTGCATCGCAGAGGTTGCTGCGCTTTGTTAACATTGGAGCGATCGCTTCCACGCCTGAGGAATCAAGCCTATCAAACGTGGGTATGAGTTCAAGTTGCGAGCCAGAAGTAAGTGTCGAAAGTGTTGCACACCTCAGTGACCAATCTGATCATTATGGAAACTGCAGTTCCCACACCCGTCAGAAATTGCTCGTCCCTTCAGAGTTGCGCCTGATTTTTCTCGTCGCCGCGTATATGCTCCAAACCCCGTGAATCAAGCTCGATGGACATATCAGAGAGTCGACGCTGCACGTCGGGGGACGTATGATAGGTGGATCGCATCTCCGTCGATGCAGAGTTCACAGTGGTGGGGCCGACAAACAGCACCGTGCTGAGCGCCCCCGACGACTTAATGTCGAGACTGTGGTCCAGCACTGACAATCTCAACGACACAATCACAACGATAGCAGTCGGGTGAATTGCCTGTGGCGGGATCAGAAAGCGACAAAGGGATGCTGGTGTGAGACGTACGGCAATGGGAACCATATAGTAATTGGACCAGTATGCCGCAGGCAGCAGACCACGGATCCCCGAAATGGATATCGCGGCCCACATCTACAAGAGCGCAGGCGTGAGCTGATGAGTTCTAGAGATGAAGTACAACCCTGCTCACCCAAAGGATGGCGTATATCAAACCTGACTCTGCCACTAGAATGCAGAGCTCCGATGCGCTCGTTTGGGAGCTTCGGGGAACCAGTAAGTCCTTGAAGTTATCCCAAGATACCCTACAACAGACCTTAGACATGCGGGTACTTACAAGAGGGCTGAAACGTACCAGATCCGACGCACGATCAAGAGTGAGGCAAACACCTGACTGGCAGCCGTGCATGCATAGGCGGCGGGCCCAACCCCTACGCGCAACGAACTTGCAAGAGCAAGTGTCGATCGAGGTACGTTGGGAAGGTAGTTCACTTCCGATACGACATTTAGGATATAGAGAACTAGAAAGATGATCAGCCAGGGTGAAGGGAGAACGGTTGCGATGCTGACCGAGCTCGATGACTATGATTAACATAGAGGTGCAAAGCAACCAGCGAGGTCGACCGAAGATGACGTAGGATCTCCAAAGCGCCACGATGTCGTTGAGAGTGAACTATGGAGGGCGAGATGAGATACGATACTTAGAGGCAAAGATCGAACGGATCCCCGAAGAACGTACAATGCACAGGCATAGTATATTCTGCGCGAAAGATAACACGCCATGATTGGCATAGAGAGCTTCGCGGATGTCAAGGTCAAGCGTAGGGTCCAGTTCCAGTGGAAGCATCCGGAAGAGCTCAAGCCATAAGATGCGTATATCGAGAGCCCAATACACTGCTGCGAATGCATAGAGACCAAAAGCAACACCAGGTGCCGAAAGCCTAGTCTTGAGGGGCGTAGACCGGTGCGAGAATTGTTGAATGGCAAAATAGGCAATGAGCGTCGTGAACAAGGCTACGCCGTCTCGTTAGTTTAGCATCCAAGGAGCAATGTAAAGATACGCGCCCATCAGGAACGTCTCCAAAAGCAATGGAAAGACGCGATTGTGTGTGATCGCCTGCAAGTCATCGAGTGCGGCTTGCAACCCCGACGTGCTTTCATTGCCTGACATGTCGCTGAGGCTGCTTTTTTTGCAGTCCAAGCTGGCCCTTCCGTCTGACGCCTGTGGTGCTGAAGCTCATGTTCGGAGAGGGTTTGGGAAGGGAATGCGGGTAAGTACCTTCTCGTGAATGAAGTATGGTCGACAGCAAGATGATGGTGGTCGAGTGGCAAGACGCGCGGGAAATGTCACCTCTTGACACGAGGTATGACATCCGTGCCTCATACTGCGGCATCTCGATCAATAATTGGCCTACGGGACCAGACGAGACCATGACTGACCATGAGTATCCGTAAGGCACCATGGTGGGTGACGAAGGCACCCGGAGGCGTATGTGATGCCAAAGATTAATTCATTGATAGATTGGCGCAGAACCTCGTGGCCGCCGGCATGCGAGAACATAAGTAATAAGGATTGTCTGTGGCTATAGTGAACACTGTATACTGTCAGACTCGTTCCGATCTGCGAATCCGTACTTAGAGAAGATCCTATGCCTAGCGCCGTGGCCGAACACCAGCGCTGACGCCCAAATATCGAAGGTGGGCAAGTCTTCAACCGAGATCACTCGAGGTGTACCGGACACCAACGACTTCGACATGCAGATTCATCATGGAAGGAGCATGGCATGACCTAGATCGATGCTTGAGCCATCGCTGCTCTCTGTACGCGAGCGAGTCTCTTCCAGTATTCCAGCGGTCTCAGATGCCTGGCTTGATGTTCCATCCGACGACGAACGGTCTGCAGCGCTGTGGGGGTGACCTCTAGTGGGCTGCGTGAAACGCACATTCTTCCTTTTCTTCTTGCTGGACGCGAAGCTGATGCTCTGTTCCAAGACAGTCCTTCGTGTCGTTACTAGAACGATGACAATTGTTGGGTATAGAGCCTGGATACGCGTTCAGCATCCGAAGAGCCGCAGGGATTTGGTGATCTTTCGCGCACTCACGATCAAAGGTATCAGGTAATAGGCTACCGTTTCTGTGTTGTGCGTCGCTCCTAATATGGCGATATAAGAGGCCTGTCAAGCGGTCAGCAAAGCAAAGACTCTACTACGACAGGCGAGGGCTTACTACGGTCACCACATACACAACGCCTGATTCAACGACCATGGTGAGTACGACGAGACCGTGCGACATGCTGGATCGTTGTACAAACTGTCTGACGTCTTTCCAGTGGACCCTGTGAGCTTCACGTTAGATTCACTCGATGAACGCGAGACGAGGGCACCCGTACCATGCTTGATAGCCGATCACGATTGTAGCAAACAGGTTTGGTACACAGGTGATGATCTGGCCGTAGAAGAGCAAATAGTGATGTTCCGTCATGAATATGAAGACGGTGATGGCCACGTAAGCCACTGGAAGAGTCTTGTCAGTCAGGCCACGAACTTGAGAGAAGAAAGAGAAACTCACAAAAGACCGCCGCTCCGAGAAGTACTGATACTCTGTAGAGCAACCTTTGCCGACCAGACACAACATACGATCGCCAAAGCGAGATACAGTCGCCGAGTATGAGCTGTCAAAGGTCAGACGATGCAGATGCGACAAACACATCAAGTTCACAATGGCTACCCCCAGGATATCGCGCGCGAACGACGCATTTGCTTGCGTTTCTTTGACGTGGCCAAGGATCTTCGCTTGAGGATCAAAGGCCAGCACCACGGTGTGAGAGACCAGTATTGCATGGGCCTTGAGAAGGTATGCGTCGATAGACCAATGTGCAGTGAAGAGGGCAAACATGGCGAGAGTCGCGAGTAGTAGCGGGTTCACGAAGGGCATCGTCTTGCGTTCTCTCCTGTATTTCAGATGTGTCAACGACCAGAAGTCGCATGAAGGTCACGGCAAGACTCACCATCGCTTGTACACCATGTACATCGTGAGGGCTGAGTGAAAAGCTACGCAGTCAACGATGTCAGATTACTCGGCGTGCAGGCCATGAATGATGCGGGCGCACCAAAGATTGACGTCTCTAAGAGAAGTGGGAACGCATAGTCCACGACGATGTCAATGACATCCCAATATATGCCGAGAATATCCACGATTTGGGTCCCGGGTGCCTTGGTATCGCTCATGGCACACAATCCATCGCGCGTTCACGTCCATCTCCTTATATATGCATGAGCGGTAGATACTGCTCTTTCCGCGTCTAGTACCGCCGGAACGATTGCTCTGTAGAGCGTATCTATTGAAGATTGTCAGGTAATCAGTGGTCTCCGCAGGGTGAATGTCATAAATCGCGAGAAGAGATGAGTGTAGCAATGCGGGTAGCGAAACCAGTACTTGCACCATGTGCTCTCATCATGACCGGCTTCAAAGCCACATCGCCGTCGCATGTAATGCCAAGTTGGATACTGGCGCTGCGCAGACTCTCATGGAGGTGCTTATCGCGAGGGCTGCCGACTTTGGTCATGATGATACGAGATACACCGTCAAGTGCCCCGGAATCCTAGGATACCAACAAAGCGGGCAACATGATGGAGACGGCCGGGCGAGGGAACGCGAACGGTGATCCTATTGATGGTTTATGGCGGCTCCATGGCCGTATGTGTATTCGTTGGTGAGCTGGCTGAGATCCTCCCGGAGGGAGGGACACATCCATGATGGAAGTCGAGGACAAGCCGCGCATGGACCGCAGCTTCGCTTTTTGATGAGATGTATGGACCGTCATGGGTCAACGTGAGTCCAGGTAGGTTCGCCATCAGACTAGAAATAGAGCAGCTGGGAGAGGCATTCACATAGCAGTACAGGGTGTGATGTAGTGTATGCAACAAGGCGCGAGTGCAATCAAGATGTAAATGAGATAGAGCGGTATTCGGACCCTCGTGGGTCGCGGAGTGGTGGAGTAGTGAATCCAAAGCGGCAAGCAGTAGCTTTACGATAGCAGCATGGTGTACCGTTCGCGGGTAGCACTGGCGTTCATCCAGACACGCCTCCGTCGGGGTCATCTGGATTGTACCCATCATTACCCCGCCCGTCCCACCTCTCCCCTCCATTCTCGCGCTCCTCCCACATCCTCAACCCCCTTTCGTCCCATTCCTTCCCTCTCATATCGCCCTTCTCCCGATACACATCACCAATCTCGCCGTAGATCTCCGGCGGTACGTAGTTATTGGTGACAGGATGTGCAAAATCCGGGTTGTACCGGTACTGGGCACCGTATTCGAGCTCCTTCATAAGCTTTGTGGGGGCGTTGCGCACGTCGAGCGGGACGGGGAGCGTCATGTCGCGTTTCGCTAGTGCGGCTGCACGGTTGTATGCTTCGTATGCGCGGATGTCTTTGGGCGCTGTTGCGAGGTATGAGACGGCATGGGCGAGGTTGATGCGGCATTCGGGCATGCCGATGCGCTCGCAGGCTTGGAAGGTCGCCATTGCGAGCGGGAGAGCTTGCGGGTCTGCTAGTCCGATGTCCTCGCTGGCCATTACGACCACCCTGCCAAGAACGCAATCAGCAAAGAGAGCAGGTATCACAGATGAGGGAGGCAGCGTACCGTCTCGCTACATATAGCGGATCCTCGCCGGCCTCCAACATCCGTGCGAGCCAGTACATCGCCGCTCCGGGCTGAGAGCCACGCACGGACTTGTGCAAGGCGCTGATGAGGTCGTATCGGTCGTCGCCTGATCGATCATGTCGAGTCGAGACGCTCGCTCGGAGCTGTTCGAGTAGTGAAGTGGTCGGGAGCGTAGAGGGAGGAGGCGCCGTGAGTACTGTAAAAGGCGCTAATCAGTACACTGTGTCGTGGGAAGACTCGGCCGCTTACCGAGCTCAAGCAATCCGAGCGCTGTGCGAGCGTCTCCCGCTGCCAGAGCCGCGATTGTACGCAGAACGCGGAGCGTTGTGTGCGGATAGGACGAGTGCAGAGGACCGGAGTCTTCAGGTTCGTCTTTTCCGGTTTGACTAGAGGTGAGAGTCTCTTGCGTCGGTAGAAGAGTTTGCGATGAACTGGGTTCTGGCGCGGGTTGGCTCGATGATAGCGCACTTTCGGGTTGACTGGAGAGGAAGGGGTCTTGACTGGACGGACCCGGCTGGCCAGACGCGGACGCGCCATCGTCCGCCGACTCAATTTCCGGATGCTCGTCTGCCACGATCCTCGCCACAGCCTTCTTCAACACATCGATGATATCATCTTCCTCTAGCCTCTTGAGAACAAACACGCGCATGCGCGACAGCAACGCGCCCGTGAGCTTGAATGATGGGTTCTCAGTGGTGGCGCCGATGAGCTACGTAGAGACAAGGGTTGACATCAATGATACATGTAGGCGTGGACTGCAGGTGGGTGTATACGTACCTGGATGTGTCCATGTTCGAGGTACGGGAGGAATATGTCCTGCGGAGGGTGTCAGATCTGGATGAACGGGAGCAAAGCATCGGGAGCGGGCGAGGGTCGAGACTCGACGGCGGACGGGTAGGGGTATGACGCAGGACCACGCAGGACGACCGAGACAGACGTGGTACTCGATGAGGAGCACCTATCGCGAACAATGTTCGTTGAGAGAGCTCGGTGACGTCCGTTGAGGAGCAACGTCCCCAACATCGTTCACCAACGAACTTCGTTGACGGTCGTCGATAACCGATGCCGCTCTTGGCTGACGTTACATGGCGCGGGAGAAGCGCAAAGACCAAGCGATGAAGCCAACGACAAGAACACACCTGCTGCGCACGCGTAAAGCGGTGGATCTCGTCGAGGAAGACGATGGTGCGCCTGTTGGAGCGCGGGTCAGTTATCGCTTGTTCGACTGTTCATCAGGGGAGAGGAGAGGCTCGGCAGTGATAGCAATGATACGCAGACGTGGTGGGCATGCGCTCAGCGCGCCCTGGCACTGCTATTCCGACGCGCACGAACTGGCCGTGAAGCGCGCGCTGGGCGCGAGGCGCACGAGAGCGATGCGAGGGACACGCCTACACGCGCACACAGCGCGCCTCCGGGAGCAGACACGCGCCGCGTCAACTGTGACTGCGCCGGTGCCGAGGCGGAGATCGGATCGGGGACCATTCCGAATCTCCCACGCGTGCTAGGCGCGTCGCCCACGCGCACAGGGAAGAGAACAAGGTGCGCGGACCCGACTTTAGAACAAGCTGCGTGTGTGGGCATCTGTAGGAATATACAGGCGCAGCAGGGAAAGGAAGAAGAAGCGATATAGCACAAGAGAAGGAGGGAGAGTAGGCAAGGGAACGCGAGCTAGAAGATAAACGCACCGTCCTGTGAGTTGCAGCACGCTCTTCGCCTCCTCGAATACTGGCCGAACGTCATTGATGCCGGCGGAAGTGGCGCTGAGCTCTTTGAAGGCTGCGCCCGATGCCTGCGCGAGTAGGCGCGTGAGCGTGGTCTTGCCGCACCTGTGGCACGAGTCGACAGGCAGATCAGCTTCTATTCCCCATGCACACGCTCAGAATGAACTCAGAAAGAAGCGCTGTGCATCTTACACTCGAGTGGGGGTATATGATATGCGACGCGGCGGTACAGCGTAGACGCTGAGAGAGGGGACAGGGTCGGAGGCTCGGAGTGCGGCATGGAAGTTCGGGGTGCACGGGGTGCGCGTGAAGCACAGTCTGATCTTTACAAAGAATATGCACGAACTTACCCCGGAGGACCCCAGAACACACAAGATCCTATGCCGGCGCCGGCGCGTAGCTGCGACAGTAGTAGCGAATTTGGGCCGACTAAATGAGATTGGCCGACTACATCGTCCAGTGAGCGCGGCCGGAGGCGCTCGGGCAGAGGACTGGCAGCCGACAGGCGAGCAGAGACAGTTGAGCCAGAGACGGTGCCAGCGCCGGCAGGGTTCGGCTGTGATAACTTCGAAGGTGTCTTGAGCTTTACGGGAGTGTTGGAAGAGGGTCGCGGCTTCTTTGGTTGCGGCGAAGACTGCGGGGGTGGGTCGGGTGCGCGCCGCTTAGGGTTGTTCGACTTTAGGAATAAAGGGGCGATATCCTTGCAGTTGTTGTCCAAGTGGCTGTTGATAGCCAGTTCGTCTTACATAGCGTGATGCACTCAGGATACATGTTTTAGTCAAAAGTTAAAGTGATAAGCACCTATACTGCGGGAGCACACGGGGCTTTTGTGGGATGAGCTAAGGGGTCGGGCTCTGGAGCGTCGGCGGATGCGCACCAAGTTACGGTGGGCATGATGTGCGTGAACCACTTTGACGCGAGACACGATGCTTCCGACTCTTAAAGCCGGAGCCCTTGCAATTTGGCGCTCCTACTCTGACGATACCCCGAACTAAACTTCGCAGCCAGGTCGAGTTCAAGAGGCAAGAACGAACAATAGGTGCGCGAGCGCTTGTTTCCACGGGATCCGCGTCGCGCGGCGCGGCGCGTGGTGGTTATACAAAGAGCGCGGCTAAATCTGGTGTATAGGATTTCTTGTTTCCTCCCCTCACCCTCGACACGATGATAGACTCCGTCGCCTGGCTGCGACGCCCACTCGCATTGCTCGCCGTCCTCGCGAGCGTCCCCCTGTGCACCGCGCACCTAGACCAAATATCGACGTCCTCCGTATCTTATTGCGCACCGCCAGAATCTATCCTCATCCAGCAATTCGACGTCACCTACTTCCCGCACAATAACTCGGTTGCCTTCAACGTCTCGGCAGCTTCCGTGCAGACCAACGTCAGCGTCACCGCAAATCTCGAACTCAACGACTACGGTTCTTCGCCCGTGAACGTGACCCTCGACCTCTGTTCACTATTGGACTCGGTCTTGTGTCCGCTGCCGCTATACAATTTTGTCGGCTACGATGTTCTGCCGCTGCCAGACACCATCGATCTCTCGGGCTTCATTCCCTCCATCGCCTACATCATTCCGGATTTGGAAGCAGTCGCGCAGCTTACGCTCTACGACGTTGACACCGGCGAACTCAAGGCATGCGTTCAGGCTACGCTCACGAACGGTTGGAGCATGCACCAAGAAGCAGTCGTTGCCGCCACGGCCACACTCGCAGGAGTGTCCTTCTTGAATGCATTCGTGCAATCTCTATTATTGCCTGCCTTCGCAACACTCGCACCCACTCGCTTGCTCGATTTGGTCAGCCTGTACCAGCTCGTCGCCGCATCCGCCCTTCTCAACCTCAACTACCCCGTCGCATACCGCGCGTTTGCCCTCAACTTCTCATGGGCATTCGGCTTGTTCGGCATGAAGCCCACGAGCAGCTTTGAGCAGTCTATCGACCGCATGCGCAATTTGACTGGCGGAACGGTCTCACAAGACGCCGTCGGTGGTGCCACTGCGCTCGTCAACCGCGTACTCTCGCCGTACAACATCGTACCGGACGACTCGTCTTCCACAGACACCGACCTCACGATGCTGCGCAGGCGTACGGACGCGCTGACTGATATGTTCGTACGCGGTGCGAACGCGCTAGCGGCACACGTCCGAGAGAGCTTGACCAAGCGCGATGACTCCGACGTTAGCGTCGCGGCCGTCACTCCCGGAAGTTCCAACACGCTTCAGGCGGGCATCCCCATTTACGCCGAGAGCGTCAATATCGCGACCGGAAACGCGTTCACCACTGCATTCTTGATCGCACTCATCCTCCTCGCCATCTCTATCGGGGTTCTCGCCCTCGTTGCTGGCGTTGTCTTCCTGCTTCGCCGTCGCAACGATAAGTTCGGTGCCTGGGCTCGCGCACAGTGGGCGCAGCAACAGAGCTGGAGCAAGGCGTGGCTTCTCCGTGTGGTGCGTTTCTTCTGTTTATCTTGATTGCGCGTTTCGGGGTGCTGATGTGGCTTTGATGACAGGCCCTGCTCTGTATGCTCCCGCTCCTCACGCTCGGGCTGTACCAGTGGACGCTTGCTGACTCCTGGCTTGCTGACCTGCTGGCGGCTATTTCGACTATCGTACTCTTCCCCGGACTCGCGTACGGCGCGTACCTCGTTATTCGGCACCGACGGATGTTCTCGGAGTCTAGCACAGTTGGACCTCTGGAGGTTATCCCCTCGCTTCATCCACTCTACGCCCAGTATACCCCGCGGAGGTACTACGCCTATGTACCCGGCTTGATCGCGATCCTACTCCGCTCCCTCTTCACCGCATTCGCCCCGCGCGCACCTTCAGCCCAGATTGGCTTGATACTCGCCACCGAAGCACTGCTCACGATTGCAACAATCGTTCTCCGCCCGAACAAGACAAGGCGTGCGGACGCGCTCTCCATCTACCTTTGCATTACCCGTCTGGCCTGCACTGCGGCAAGCGTCGTGTTCATCACGAGCCTGGGAATCAAGCCCATTCCACGTGTTGCCGTCGGCATCGTATGCGCCGTCATCTGGAGCGTTGCCGTCGTCGTGCTCTTCTTCAACCTGTTGTGCAACATCGGTCTGGGCGCTTTGTGGAGGAGATGGAGGCACGGGACAGCATTCGGTCAAATCTCGAGCGGGAGCAGCGAGCCGCAGACGAGGAGCAGTAGCATCGACAAGATTGATGAGAAGGCTGGCGTGTCGGTCCTGGAGAAGGAGCGGTCCGCAACTGGCTCGTCATCTGGCTCATCGTCGCCCGCGCCGTCAGTGCTGTACGGTCGCGCGCAAGCACCTACACCCGACAGGCACGGCGTGCTTGATCCGTCTGTCAAACAGACTTATCCGGCCGTCACGCCTGCGACGACCTTCGCGGAACCGCCGACTGCTAGCACGATGAGCAGTTACGGCGTGCAGGTGCCGAGCAAGTGGGCGAGGAGACCGAGTAGCGGGTTCAGCGACAGTGCCTACGGCGGAAGCGCTCAGAACTCGCCGAGTTCACAAGGGCACTTCGCTGGCGCTACGCCGCCTAGCGCTGGGCACCTGAACTCGGTCCAGGAGCACCACGCGCAATAGGCTCGCCTCCCGACTCTACTTGCATTGCTCTGCTTGACTCATGTAACGCCCTTCCGTCTTTTTGCATCACACCGCATCGCATGTCTCCGTCCTGTCTCGTCTCGTTCCGCTCGCATCATCAGCCTCGTCTTGCACTCATCAACTTGTTCCCGGCCCCCTTCACATTCACTGAACTGTATCGACTAGGATCTTGTTTATTCCCGTCCAACCACACTCTCTGACCTAGCAATAGTGTACATACTCGCATCTAGAATGCCCGGCGCACACCGCTCTGTTTCATATCCCTCACCACCATCACCTCCACCTTCACCGTGTCATACTCATCTTACATACCTTCCGCCTCTGACGCCGCTGGGCACTGTCCATACCCTACCCGCGCCACTCACCACGGACCGTTCGATTCTGACACTCATACTCGTCTCATCTCATCTCATCCATCTCAACCAACCCCATCTAGATTTCAGTACCAGCCACTGCATGATTCACTTTGGATGTACATACCACACGCACGACTGTTCATGACCCGCCCTTGTGCTGCTCTACATGCTCTTTTTAGTCTTACCCCTTCTCCGAGCTCGTCCATTCTGCGTTTTTTCCCCTTCCCCACTTCCCCCTTCCCCCTCGCGCGTCGTAGCATCTGTTTTTTATACTTATTCCCGAGCGACCTTGTTTATATCATCGTGTTCGAAGAGGAGAAACACCATCGCGGGATTCGGAGTGTGCGAGTATTATATACGGTTGCCTAGGTGAAGCGAAAGCTGTGGAATGGTCCATCGCGACGATACTGAATGCTCCTGGGGACAGGCAGCGCGCCGCGTCGTCGGCTCTATTGCTCGCGTGGCTGCCATGCACTCTCAGATGCCGAACAATGCCGAGCCAAACTATGGAGACCCCCAAGATCCATGCCCGATCGAAATCAGACGCTCGCTCGCGCGCGGCGCGTTGCGCGTCTTGCGCGCGAGTTGGCACTAACGGCGACGACGCTTCACACGAGCTCGGCGTATTGTGGGCTATTGCATGCGGTATCAAAGCTGCAGCCGCTTCACGCGAAGCCCACTGAGTATCCTTTATATCGGGTCGTAGTGTTCAATACTATCGCTCCGCGGCCCTCGCCAATACGTCGAGCCGGCAGGCCTTGCCTAAGCGTCAAACATCGCAGGCAGTATCCACCAAGTTGTGTCAAATGTGATATTGTTGCTCTCCGTGCATAGCCGCATGCGGTAGTAATCGGCTCGACGAAGGATACCGAGCTGTTTTGAACATCGGAGAGTGATCGACCCGATGATACAACGCCGGCTCAAGCATATATGTGCGCAATCTACACTGCTCGCCGACGAAGATGTTGACCTGTCTATAGTAAACATATTGCGCTGGCGTCTTCCATCCGCCTATTGTATCCGTGCGCGATCCCGCGACCGTTCCGCAGGTGGACGCGTCCGTTTCCGCTGATGCCCTTGTCATCGTCGTGCTTGGAGCTCTTCCTTCCTCATGAAGCCAGATCGCTATTGCTCGGTCCGTAGCGGTGCGTATTCAGCATCTCTTATCGTGATCGAGGCCATATCCAGGTCGAGCGATGGCGCCTGACAGGTTCTCAGCCAGCGCAGATACGTTCCGTGTAGGTACGCGTGCCAGAGGATCTCTCTATTGCGCCCGGATTCAACTGACAGCTGTCCTTGGGTTTACATCCTAGGTAGGATCCAATATCACTCTTCCGCTCCCCAAGCCTATGGGAGCGTGAACACCCTAAGGACATCTTGGTTTGACCGAAGCGGGATCCCAACTCCTTCTCGACCAAAGAGGCCAAATTCATCGGGCGCTGTATGGAGAACGCTCGGCGAAGGCCGCTTTGCGGTATGGATTACAACTCAAGCGCAAGAGGCAGACTCAACAGTCGCGCTAAAGCGGGATGGCACGGCTTCCATATCTCCATCGATTGTTCCGGCGTCCATTGTTCGAGGTATATAGTGTCATTCCGCATCATGAGACTCTCTTTGGCCCTTCTGTACGCCGTCTACTTGCTTAGTACGGCTGCTGGTGTCTCCCCGCAGGATGGCCTACAACTTCTCCGAGGTGCGACTCGACTCGCCGGTGGCCGATGTGGAGAGTATCGCAAACTTCCGCGCGTTTCCGCTTCTTCTAGAGTCGACACTGATGGGTACGTCCTATCCATCTGCAACACTATTTTGGTTCTCACCCTGCCCGTCGCTTCAGGCGTCTTTACCGTGCAAACGGCCTTCCTCGTTCAACACCAATGGTGCGCTATACTGGCGCGATACTATGTCACCGACTGATTTTCATTCACAGCCACCGTCTCATGACGAGTTCTACATTACCGGCTTATCTGAGGTCAAGACCAAAGCCGCACACCAGGCTACTACTAGGTCTGACTGTATGCTTGTATCTCCTGGCCGTGGCATGTTGGGCCCTCGACATTGTTCTTCTACGCCAAGATCTTCTCGACCTTTTACCCAACCAACTGTCCACCGATCCCGACCCTGGTGTATATGCCACACTCGCCCAACTACGTGGAGAGGAGCAGTACGCACAGGCGGTTTTGCAGATCGTGATAGTGCGTAATCAGCTGTCGCCCGTCTGTGTCACATCACCAACATGCGAGTACTAGTGGCTGATCAGTGACTGTATAACGCTGTGGAGAGCATACGCCGTTCTCGGAAAGCCGCGGTGGCTGAGATATACCATCTTCATCTTACTGTTCCTTGAATTTGGTGAGCATTGATCACTGCATATTCGTGATTCAGGGGAAGTGATACGCCTCTAGCGGACTACGTGGTCTACATTGTGCTATACGTATATATCTTTCCTCACCCTCCGCGCTTCATCTCTTCCCTATATCAGTCGAGTGGCGGCCTCATCGGCACTGCACCTTTCGCGGCGACATCAGCCTTCACTGCCGCTGTGCAAGCTTTTGCTTCTTTCTTAATCTTTTGCAAGGCCTGGTGCGTCCCGTTTGTATCGACCCACGATGCGCTGCTGATGAGGGGGTTTGCTCAGGATGATCCTGAAGAGTAGGCAAGGGTTGCCTTGTGGTCCTGGTCGAACGTTTAGAACTTTGTCTGTCTTCATCGAGAGTGGTCTGGCGTACTCTGTACTTTGGGTAAGCCACTATCCCTTTTGGCGGGTCATATGTCGCCTGATGCGAGTGCAGATTTGGTATGCGATTGGATCCAACGACGAGATTTCTAGCCAGATGACATCCGCATGGATGGACTCCTACGTGATCCCTCTGACGGTGAGAACCTCGGATTGTCTCATGTTCGAACACACTGATCTCACGGCAATCAGGCTATGTACCCGACGCTCGTCATGATGATAGTGACCATACAAGACTCGGCGCTGGCTAAAGCCGACCGTCTCTCCAGCAGGGTCAGTAGCATCCACGGGGAGACGGACTCGCTCCAAGACGTCGAATTGCAGACAACGGGGAGCTCGAGACAGGCGGCATTGAAGCCACCGGTACTCGCATGCACTCGCTCTATGGATACAATGGTGACGGATGTCTCTGAGAGTAAGGATGATGGTAGTAGTGGCCCTTCTCATCTCAACATGTCCATGTCTATGACGCCAGCGAGTTGTGTATTGAAGTCACTGTATTGATAGTTTCAGCACTATTAGCACTATGAATACCTCCGCTGTTTCCGTGACGAAACTCCGTATCATACTCCAGCGTAGCACCGCGATAGCTATGCGACGAAGCGATCTGTCGTCGTCGATCCGCGTTCAGAGCCACGCGCGGGGGCCGCAGGTGCGCTCGGAGCTCGGTCCGCAGCCCCTCCGTTGCCGACCGGGCAAATCACGGTTGTCTCCGACCACAACCTCGTCTGAGGTCGCAAATATTCACTCTTGCGGGCCATCCATGGCGCCCTGCGAGCGATTTGAACATACTTTCAGGAAGATGACTAGCCGTGCACAGCCTCCCTAACCCCGTCTATCCAACAGTGTCCATGTCTAAGCGGCAGCCGTTCAATAAGAGTGCTCTTGAAGCGCGGCACCCCGTAATGATGTCGCAGTCATCATCTTTCATAGCAAGCGGGAACGTTCAAGCTACAGCGGGCAGCTCTGGAGAGTAATTAGCCCGACGAGCGTGGCGACCAGAGTACATCGTGCGTCTCACTTCTCTACCCACTTGAATGACACTCATGACCAACCTGCAGAAATCTACATGGCTCGCTCACGGTGGCCAAACCGCGGTCTTGGGAATCGACGGATGTCGCATCGAATGTCGCATATCATCCCGCAAGGGTCCCGCCGTTGGACGCACTTCACTACGACTATCCCTTTTCGATGTTCACAACGTTGTCGCACTCTTTGTACCGATACGCTGCTTCTTCATTAGCCGGAAACCCTAGGTATCCACCAATGAACTGGTTCGCAACGGAGCAATTCATCCGTCTCTTATCGTGATGGATGGCTCCCTCAAAAGGACCTAATCGGTGCGAGTACATTCCATATAGGTACATGCATCAGGGGACCATGTCTATCCCACTCAATCCTAAGTGACGGCTGTCATCGGCTTCTCATCCTAGGACACGAAAATCCCTCCCCCGCGTTCAGCCCCAGCTTCATTTTAATAACAATTTATCTAAGGTTATCGCCTTTCCAGAGCGGGATCGTGATTCGTTCGAGGCGTCAACTAAGAACGACAAACTCCCAGGACATTGTATACAGTGCGCCCGGCCATGGGCGCCTTGTTGTATTGCTGACATCGACCAATGGCTGAGAGGGATGGTTAGACGCTATCTTCGCGCCAATGCGGGATGGCGCGGCTTCCACATCTCCATCGATAGCTCCGGCGCCATCCATTGTCCGCGGCATATAATACCATTCAGAACTGCAACTCACCTCGTCGACCCTTCTTTACCCCGTCAAACTGAGTGCGACTACTAGCTTCTCCCGGCAGACGGTACTGCTCATATTATGGCCTATGACTTCTCTGAGGTGCGACTCGACTCTCCGGTGGCCGATGTGGAGAGTATCGCAAACTTCCGTGCGTTTCCGCTTCTTCTTGAGTCAACACTGATGGGTACGCACCCCGTCTACAGTCCCAAGTATCTCCATACTCACTCTGCACTCATTAGGTATCTTCACCGTGCAGACGGCCTATCTCGTCCAACATCAAGGGTGCGCTGCGGTCTACTCAATACCGTTTCATGATCTGACTCACGATCACAGTTCCCGCCTCATAACGAGGTCGATATTGCCGGGTTATCTGAGGCCGAAACCTAAGCCTCACGCCGGACGACTATTGGTGCTGACAATAGGCTTGTACCTTTCGGCTGTTGCCTGCTGGGCCCTTGATATCGTTCTTCTACGCCAGGATCTTCTCGTTCTCTTGCCCAATCAAATCTCCACCGATCCAGACCCACGTATATATGAGGCGCTTGCACAGCTGCGTGCGGAGGAGCAGTACGCACGGGCGGTTCTGCAGGTCATAATCGTACGTGGCTCCGCTATTGCCCTCCTGATATAGCCCGCTAATGTACAAGCAGTGGATCATCAGCGACTGCGTAACACTGTGGAGGGCGTACGTCATCCTCGAGAGGCCGCGCTGGCTGAAACATACCATCTCCATCCTTCTATTCCTTGAATTCGGTGAGTTCAGAGTATACCATATACCCGGCTTACGAGAATTGACGCCATGCGACTCAAGCGGATTACGTGGTCTATCTTATACTATGGGTTTACATATTCCCACATCCTCCGCGCTTCATCTCCACCCTGTACAAGACAAGCGGCGGGCTCATCGGTACCGCACCTTTCGCAACGACGTGTGCTTTGACAGCCACTGTCCAGGCGTTTGCTTCTCTCTTGATCTTCTGCAAGGCTTGGTAAGTCGCGCCTGCGTCGAGCTATGTTACACTGCTGATGAAAGAGGCGCTTTCGTCCAGGATGATCCTGAAAAGCAGACAGGGCTTGCTACACGGTCCCGGTCGAACCTTCCGGACGTTGTCTATCTTCATCGAGAGTGGGGTGGCGTACTCTGCCCTTTGGGTAAGTTGTTACTCATCCTTGTCAGTCTCCGTCAGTCATGCGTTGTCTGACGCAAGCATAGATATGGTATGCAACCGGATCCGACGATGAGATATCTAGCCAGACGACAACGGCGTGGATGGACTCTTACGTGATCCCTTTAACAGTGAGCGATTCGCACATTCTTCCACAGGCATATTTGCTTATCTCACGACGATCAGGCCATGTATCCCACCCTGGTCATGATGATCGTGACTATACAAGACTCGGCGCTTGCGAAAGCAGAGCGTCTCCCGAGCGGGGTCAGCAGTTTCCGCATGGAGACCACTGCGTTGCAAGACGCCGAGCTGCAGATAACGAGGTGCTCAAGGCATGCGAAGCCGATGCCATCGGTACTCGCATCCGCTTACTCTGCGGATGCAGTGGCCATTGATACCGCTGAGAATAAGCACGATGGTAGCAGCGGCACTTGTACGTCATCTCAGGACGGCCATGTCCACGACGGCGTCTAGTTGTGAACCGAAGCGCGTACATTGATGGCATTCAAAATAATCATATCGTGAATGCTCTCTGAGATTCGAGCGTGGTGCAAGGAAGCCTCGCGTTTCAGGTACTTAGACACTTGATCCAGCACGGGAGCGTGAGAAGCTCATCACGGCAATTGCCACTGCCAGCTCATCTGCGTCGAGGAGCGGTCGCGCTCGGCCCGTCGGCAACCTGTAATGTTGCTTCAGACGAGTTGCGCGACGTTGGACTGGTACCGACGGCACTCTATGCATGCATCGCCTCTGCACGGAGCTTCGTGCCTTGAACAGTATGGATTCAAACACAGCACTTACCATACCTTATCGGGAGGGCCAGACTGGTAGATCAAGACGTTGGAACGGATCGTCGTGGTCTGGCGGATACAGCAGGGCCGGCGTAGCTGATTGCTATTGCTCTGACACTGCGGCGACTTGACTATCCTCAATTTGCTGATATACACTTACGCCTCACTCATAGCTGTCGCGGAGTTTCCGCGGCTTTCGGCCTCTCGGCTTGTCGCGAACCGGCGCTCGCACTCACGACGTCCATAACTAGCGAATTACTCTCATGATTGCCACTGGAACATGCCTCGGCTCTTTCTATCTGCTTCATCTCTAACCTCAGAACGACCGTTCGCACACACTGGTCGCGGCGGGCGGTTCAATATTATTCTCCCATTCTCCTTTCTTCTACGCGTGGCCTTCAGCCATCATCTCGCGGCCGGCCCTGCCCCCAATACTACAATACATCAACTCACGCGCGCTGAGTCTAGGCTCTCGCAAGATGAACTACTGATCATCTGTCCACAGGCGCTCCATGATCTGACCAGATGAGCAGCCGTTTCTGTCTCTTCGTATTGGAAGCTGTAGCCGGTACGTTCCACGCTCGCAATCAGCGCACTTCCGCACCGCAACCGATCTCATAATAGCCAGGGCAACATGCTGAGTGGGTGGAGCAGGCCTCTCTCCTGCCTGCTCGTATGTCACCCAGGCCCTCTCGACGGCAGGTACTCGTAGACTATAGCGATGTCACTTCCATCACCGAGCGCGGCTCCATGCCTTTACTCCTAGAAACCTTCTTCTACGGTGAAGCGATTGAGATACTCTTCCAAGGCCTTTACTGAAGGACGGTTCATAGCTCTTGACATGGTTCTAATCATATACTTCATCTACAAACGACGGTACTGTGCGGTCATTCACCGCATAGATGATCGCTCTAACTTCTGTTTCCAGGATAGACCGAAGGACCACCCCACGGCTCCCCCTATTCATGCTCTGCGTGACCCTCGCAATGTTCACTCTGTTCACCCTCTACTGGGCGATAGACGTGTATCTTCTGTGGGCGGCGGTATACCGCTATCTTCCACGCCAAGCAACGGAGCGAGAGGACACTTACCTCGACGGAATTTGGATATCCTGGTCTGCACCCTACTTCATTCAGCAGATAGCCCTCTTCAGTATGGTGCGCATACACTATTGTCTGGCTTAGCCTGCCCTGATCTTCGTCCCATATGCAGATTGTACTTGGAGACGTCATCTCTCTATGGCGAGCATACGTCATATTGAGCCGACCGCGATGGCTCTTCCTCTTGTCCATTACTATCGGCATTCTTGAGAGTGGTCAGTGAACTCTTCATGTAGACCGATAGAGTTCCGACTTGATCGATGGTAGGGCTGTACATCCTATTTCTCATGGAGTACTTGGCCGAAGAGCTGCCGCACTTTGCTCGCGGCTTCTACGAGTTTTCCGAAAACTCTAATAGTCCATCCATCATGGCCGCAGGACTTCTCACCGGCTGTGCCCAACTATTTGCCACCTCGTTGATCATCTGGAAGGCCTGGTACGCGAGTTCTCCTTCAGCTCTGGTATGACTATGGACGATCTGACGCGTATGGTAGGCTTTACTGGAGGGATGTCCGCGAGTTCTCTCGCCAATATCAAGTTCGCCACGGGATTGCGATGTTAGCCGTCGTCATCGAATCAGGGGCTGTATACCTAGCATTGCTGGTGCGTGGCCGAATGTTGTACACGATCACCTTCTGATCCAGATGTACCAGTTTTGGTACGGCAGTGTTGTGATATTTGCGAGTGAGCAGTCTCTAGCGCTAGCGCTGGTTTACTACTATGCAACACCGCTTATAGTGCGTTGCCTCGTCCATCATCGATCTAGGGCCTGTACTCATTCGACTGTCGCTAGGCCATGTATCCCCCTCTAGTCGTCGTGTTGGTGGCAACCCGTCGCTCCGTACTCGAGCGAAGCATCGAGATGAAGACAGCAGTGTCATCGAACGTACGGTTTGCGACAAATGCCACCGACACGCAAGGAGGTGTCCGTTACTCCAGACACTCGCTCCGTCACAGCCGTGGTGATCGCGGCGATGGGCACCGACCAGAAGGGTTACGATTACTTGAAGTCAGCTTCGGACCAGGGATTGAACTCGACAACATGCAACCGGTCTCGAGTGCTGACGAGTCGACACCAGGAGGGTCCTACAGCGACGACAAGAGCAGATCGATAGCCAAACCGCGCCGTGCCCTATTGAGCTCAAGTTTTGTCCACTCGCCATAGCCTTACTTGTAGTCAGAGTAGCCATTCTAGACCACCGTATGATGGCTGTTCCGTGCGTCTGCGCGCGTCTTGCCCGTGAGACTTGCACTCGGCTGTTGCCGTTCATCCCCGCACCACGCAGATCAGCAGTATGCGATGCGAGCTCGCAAGCCGCGCTGACCAACACACATAAGCGCTGAAGAAGGATGTGGCTTGTGTATAAATACTCTTGTGGGGAGGGCAAGCGAGCACTTTGCCCCACTCAAGCCTGTGCCGCTTGGTACTATAGTAGACGCGGGGGTTCGAACCACAATGTGGCCATAACTACTACCACCCACTGAGCAAGCTCAGGTGGTGTACCCGATCTGATAAGCACGAGAATGTGGAAAAGTGGATGACTACAGTACAAAACGGAATACATGTGGTACACGTCAAACAGGCATAACAAAATACAACGCGCAATTGCAGGACAGACGTACCAGCGCAGCAGGCAGAGCGAGCATCTGCTGAGACGAGCCCACCAAGTATGACCTTAGCGGAGTGTGGAGAAGCCGCCCGTAGACAAGCTCTGAGGTACTGTTGCACCGCAGTCGTTAGCAGCGTCTTTGTCGTTCGTGAGGACTATCTCTATATCCGCCCCGACACGGAAGGTGTCGTAGAAGTCGAAGGAGCATACACTTGGCAACGTCTCGTTGTTGATCTTGACGCTCTGCACGTACGCCGATGCACCCTCCGGTATCTTCACCGCGATGGACTATACTCAGAAGTCAGTAAGCGCCCGTGGTGATGCAAAGGCGATCACCTTACCTTCGGGTCGAAGTTAGTGACGGTAACGGTGGTGCTGACGTTCAAGTACGGGTTGTGGACGGTGTACTTCGGCGTGAAAGGCGAAAGAACGATGAGCTCGGATGTACCCGGAACTGGGTACAGCCCGAGCAGGTGGAAGGAAAGGAGACTGGCCATAGCCGCCTGATCGTCGTTCCCAGGGAGTCCATCGACCTCGATACCAAAGTTATCGAATACAACCTCGCGCACGCGTGACACACTGTCTGCCGGTCGATTTGCGTAGTGGTAGCCAATCGGCGTTTGGAAAGACGGCTCGTTGCCGGCAAGATAGTAGCCCTCGTCGAAGAAGTGGTTCAATCGGTCGACGAAGGTGTCGTTGCCGCCCATGAGCTCGATAAGGTATGCCGTATCGTGGGGGGCAAACCAGGAGTACTCCCACGAACTGGACTCGTAGAAGCCGTTCACGTTGTCCCCTTGCAGACTGCACTCTCGGGAGGTGTCGTTGTCCTTGGGACTGCAGTTCACCGGGTCCTGGAACGCGAAAGATCCGTCCGGTCGGCGCTTCTGCATGAAGCCCTTGAAACCGTCGCTCTCAACTGATGGGTCCCAAACGTTGCGATACCACTAGTGTAAGGTCAGTATCATGTTCATGAGGGCTTCGGACTTCGGAGAGACGTACCAAAGACCGGTTCGTGTAGTCTGTGAGGTAGCTTGACTCGTTCAGTAGCAGAGCAACCTGTCGGATGGCAAAGTCTTCGAACGCGTACTAATCGAAGGGTTAGTCAATGATGTCATGAACAAGGTCAGATGTTGCACACTTCAAGAGTGCGGCTACCCTCGCGAGTCTGACGTCCAGTGCTGCTCGCGTCCAGAACATCGAATGGGACGTATCCGTACTCCTTGTACACGTTCACCTCTCGCCCCTGAATGTTCCACTCCGGCGGGTTAAGCTCTCCATCTGTCCCATAAGGGTCAGCGCAGTGACAATGCAACGGACTTAGCAACCCACCCGCAAGCTGCGCTCCGAAGATGTCGTTCAGACTGATACCCAGCTCGCTTGCCTCGTCGTGGTAGTTGATCGCAAAGTGGCCCACGATCACATCGCCACTGCTTCCGCCTTGTGTCCATCCTGGCAAGTTGTTTGAACGGCACTCGGGCATCCATCCGCGCTTGCGCCACGCATCAAGGTAGCTATCGACAATCTGCGCGTAGGTCTCCGGCGACGTGAGGGTCATAAGGGGGTAGAATGTCCGGAAGGTGTCCCAGGAGCAGTAGAGAGAGTCGAAGTAGAAGGATGTGGTTCCTGCGAACTCGGCTTGCGTCTCGTCTGTGGCGTTGTTCTGTCGACATAGCGTGAGCATTCAGTGAACCTCAGAGTGATTGGACGGGGACCCACCGGTGTCAGAGACGAGCGGTACAGGCTGGAGTAGAACATCTCCGTAACGTTCTCCGGTGTATTAGGGACATCGATTTCGATCCTACTCAAGCGATCGTTCCAGAGGGCCTTGCTCGCGTCCTGCACCTCCTCGAAGCTGGCACCACCTATCTCCTCCTCGGCATTTGAGCACGCCTGATCAGCGCTCACGAAAGATACGCCGACACGGATGGTGACCTCCTCGGGTTTGCCCGAGTACGAGAAGATTGCGCCGTATTCATAGGTATCGCCGATGAGTGATTGGGTCAAGTTGATATGCGTGGCGCCGAGCTGACGCGCGTTAAGGCCGTAACTGATCATTAGGGTTAGGGGCAATTTGATGGCACTGATCAAGAGCAACGCACGCGTTACCGGACCAGAGACCGTACTCATCGAGAGTCTGCGAGCCACCATTCAGCAGATCGTAGCATGCAAATGCCTTGTAGCTGTATGATCCTGGACCAAAGCTATGCACGCATCAGCACCGTATAGTGAACGTAGTGGGTCCAGCGCACCTGGAACCCCAGTATCCGCCGATCGTGATGCGACCATTATCCCCGTCAATGTCCATGGACCCACCCTTGAACGTGTTTGGCAGGTCGTTGGAGAGATCGAGCACGAAGAACGGTGTACTGCCAGAAGGAAAGGTGAAACGTTCAAGGGCGGCGCGGCGTGTTGATGTCGCCTCCATCTTGATGCTGTTGTTGAGCGTGAGAGAGAAGTATCCAGGTGAAGCATCTGGGGTCCGCTGTTAGGCGCGCGCACAACAGAAGAGCATGAGGATGAACGCACCGTCCGTGTTGTTCTTGCGGAGTCTCAGCCTATCTTCGTACCGCGTTGGGCAGCTGAAGAAGTCACATCCGATCTGTGGCATGATTTCGAAGTTGCCGTATGTTCCTAGTGATGAGCCTGTCCCGGAGTCGTGCAGCGGGGAGAGACCGCGGATGAACTGAGTGGCGTCGGCGACGTAGCCTACGCACAATACATATCAGAGCGAAATACCTCAAGCTTGAAAGGGAAGCCATACCTGCAGGTGCATAGCCTGTCATGTCTGTGGTGACCTTCACCATGCCGAATGGGACGGATGCACCAGGGCTAGGAATATATCAGCCTCGAAGCTCGGATTGTCCCTCCAACAGTGCGCACCAAACATCTCCATAAAAGAAAGTATCTGTAAGGCCTGTTAGTGCGTGGAATCGAAGGGAATGAAGTACACGTACCGGTACCGATGAAGGGGTTGACAAACTCGGTGTAGTCAATGGTGCCATTGGTGGAGTTCGTTGCCGCAATCGCCGCCGCAATGCGCTTCTGCACTTCTGGCGACGGCTGCGCGCTTACGCTTACCGCGAAAGCGATAACGAGCGCGCCGAATCTGACGCCCGAGGGCAGCATGACGCGGGTCAGGTTATTCGCGCACGAATTTCGGGTTGCGGCTACTTATATGTCGCGCTCAGTACATCAGTGCATGCGGTCGCATGCATCGCGGTGTTCGGATAGCCAAGAACGTACGCAGAAGAAGCAGGGGAAGATGAGCAATTTATATAACAGAAGCCAACAGAACGAGTGTCGTGCGGCTGCTTGATGGCACGGGGTGCGTCCTAGGACAGACATTGGAGATCCTCAGCGCTATCAGTGCAAGCACATGGGCCGCGCATGACGAGATGGTGGGAACCGAGGCACAGCCTGCGCCAGGGCTGCATGTTATTCGAGCAGCCATCCATGATCGAGCGGGCTGCAAAGCCAGCGAAACTGCGCTTGAAGCGATGTGGCTCGTTTCACATTTTTGTTCGGGACGGTTCACTGGGTTGAACCAGTTCGTTATTCTCGCAGCGACGAGCTCCAGAGATATCGTATCGTTGATCCTTGGTTGATCCTATCTTGACAAGCGCTGTGGAAGAACCCTCCAAGTGATCAAGTCTGGCAGCTTCTCTGTCTATCCCCGTCATACGACCATGCCAGACTCCCTTGTTCAGGTCATGCCACAAGTTTTTATGGAGTCCTGAGTATTTTGGGGAGCCATAGATACTCGGTAAGTCGTTGTTGGTGGTGGGAAGAAAGAAGCAGCGTCGGCGCGTCGCGGCCTGCCGCACGTAGCGCGACGCGTCGATGACGCGCCTGGAGGCGAGGTTGCTGTCTGCACCCAACGCCCATCACAACGGGCTCCGTTCACTTCCAAGGCCTAGTCTTCGTTTAATTTTTCGTCTTGCTATCTGTTGTCTGTGTTGAATGCTACCCTCAGTGCTCTGGAGACATACCAGTCGCGCTGGTTCTGTTGCTTCTTATGACCGCTATGCTGCTATTCGCACCTTCTTCACGCGTCCCACGCGGCCCAAAGCATTCACTGCTGCCAATATACATGCCTCTGCGCGCACAAATGCCTCGGTCTGTGGCTTGGCCAGGTACCCGCAGAGAAGCGCGTCTCCGACAGTCAGAATGTCGATGACTACAAAGGCAACGCGCGTGCCAAATACGGTGGTAATGCGGGGTATGTGAACGCCCGCCCGTACGGACGTATTGCAATGAAGCTAAAAAAGGGTGTATAGGAAGAAATATTACCACCGATGGTTCAATTGCGCGACACATTGCTGCCTCCGTGCCTCATCGCTGGATGCACACCACGCGCCCTCGTCACGAAGAGAACGAGAAAAAGCCGCCACCAGAGCCGCCCAAGCCGCCCGCACCTCCAAACTTCGACAACTACCCTCCCTTATTTCGGCGTCTGGCAGCATCTTTGCCTCACGTACCCCGACCACAGCTGCAGGACTATTTGAATGCTTCATCCAGTTTCTTGACGCGGATGCGCATTCGCATACGTTGGATGTTCATCCGCGCGTTTCGCCGGTTCAACGCTGACGACATTTCGGCATTTGTTACTTGGTTCCTGATGAGTTGGGGAGCCTGGGTCTTGATCGGAACGTGAGCCGTTGCGTCCGTGATGCTGAAGCCCTTCACTTACTTTGAACTTACAGAACGACATTTGCCTCAGTGGTCTTCGCTCTGGCACGAAGTCTTAGTTTGCAGGGTACGCACCTCAGCCCGTCATATGACAGCTCGACTCATCCAGTCGTTGCAGAGTATGTTGCGCGCGCTTTGAGCGACTACATGACGGAACAAACAGGCGTCACTATCATCTTCGAGTCCGCCATCGTGCCCAAGTGGAAAGACCAGCGCATCTCCTTCAAGAACGTGTTCGTCTCCCGTCGGTCGAATCCCAGCGTGGCCCAAGTCAAGCATCAGATCCACCACGCTATGAATTACGACGTGCATAATCATCCGGCGAATCATCTTCTCGAGGAGGACGAAGAGGGTGAAGATCCACTTAGCGACAGTGATGCTGAGCAGAATAACTGGATGACTATCGACCTGAATATCGACAGCGTCGACGTCACGCTTAGCCTCTGGCGTTGGCTCGACGGCAAAGGCTTGATTGACTCCGCCGTCGTCAAAGGCGTCCGTGGTATTCTAGGTGAGCGCCTATCATATTCCTTCGCGAACAAGCGCTGATGCCCAACAGATCGCAGACACATTGTCTGGGACCCATCGCTCGTCCCCGAAGACTTCCGCCGTCCAGGCCACACCGGCTCTCTGAACCTCGAATCTCTACAACTTGAAGACGTACTCTTCACCGTCTACCAGCCCGGCGGCTTCCGGCCCTACACCGTATCCATCTTTCGCGCCGACATCGGTACCCTTCGTCAACGGTGGCTCTTCCATGACATGCTCCGCGCGGAGACCATCGTCGGCCAGTTCGACAATTGTCTCTTCAGCCTGCATCGCCCGCAGAGCATTGGACGCACGAATGAGCGCGATCACCGCGATAGCGCGCAGACCTGGGTCTCCCGCCTGCGGATTGATGGTGTGAACATCGACCATGTCCAGGCGATGACCGGCGATGAGGGTCCCATCTCTTGGATCACCTCGGGCAAACTCGACGCCGTACTTGACCTTCGCTTTCCCCGAGACCCCGAGGCGGACTTGGAGGGCCTAGACACGATCTTGCTTGATGCGCTCGAGGCGGTCACGGAGCGTATACCAGGTCAGCGTGCGCTCGCGCGACCTCCGCTCTTCGCGCCGTCGGATGAGGCGGACGAGTATGAGGAGGTCAGGCAAGAAGAAGAGGCGCGTGCAGAAGGCCGAGAGACACCGCCGAAGGACCCGAAGGTCGTCATCGATATCGATTTGCGGTTTCGGGACATCAAGGCTGCAATGCCGTTGTGGTCGAACGACCTTGGATACAGCGGCAATGCGCTCGTGCGACCCATCGTTGCATTCATGAAGTACGTGCCCACACTCGTCTCGATGTCAACGGGCGCTGATGGTCCAACAGCGCGAACCGTACTCTCATTCCGATCCACTGCCGCGTATCAAAACCTCTCAGCCACTTTGATGGGGCATGGAGCGTACGTGCATCCTCATCCCCATCCGGGTCAAGATCCTAACCTCATTCTTATTCGCAGATGTGGGAGACCGGTCTGATGACAGACGTCTCGAACAAGGTGTACGATGCTCTCGCCTACCATGTCACATCGGCGAACTTCAATCATCGGCTGCGCACGGTCGGCGTGTGGAGTCTGCAGAAGACGGCTGGCGCTGTCCTCTCTGCGCTCAGGCAGGTCGTGGACCCTGTAGCTGTTCAGTTGCGGGAGGTGTATGGCAATGTCGAGGAGATGCCTCTGGGGGTGGCCACTCCTGTCGGTGAACATCTGTAGTTAAGATACGATGTTAGCTGTACCCGCCAGATAGACGACGCATGGGAGTTGTCCGAGAAAGCGGCATGGCGTCCCGATAAAATCATCGATTTCAGTCACCTATGGAACTCACGCTGCGGTTTAACCTGAGTCAGGTAAGCTGCACTTGGAGTGATTGACGGGCTTGGCCTCTATTAGCGTCATGCTTCGAGCTATACATGATCCGCTTTCTACCATCGCATTCAGCATGATCATGCATGTCCGATCCATTCGATATGTGTCAACAAGCATCAACTCAGCATTCAGATTTCACGAGCGGAGAAGTGTAAGTACAATACATCATCTGATGGGTATTGGCTGGGGCATAACGGGAGACGCGAGCGAGTGACGCGAAGGATACTCAATGAATGTCACCCTCACGGACCCCTGCAGCGAACTCCACACTGCCCAATGTCTGACTTCTTGCGGCACCACCAATTCGCGTATGGGTATTCCAAGCTGGTGCCTGACCTGCGACAGGCTGAGAAGGCTTGCGATCAAAACGCTGTACTGCATTTCGTCCTGCAAGAGGTTGAGAGCTAGCACTTCGAGGTGCGGTACCAATACGCGCGGCGTTTCTGGCGGCCTGGCTGTATAGGTGCGTTGAAGCGCATCGAGTAAGCACAATTGGGGGAGGGGGCCGCTGTCTGAGTCTTCTTCGACGTTAACCACGCCGATTCGTCGGATGCTTTGCGCGCTTTCGAGCAAGGGCAACCAGAGACCGTGAATTGCAAGCAATGATATAAACTTGGTGTCGAGTGATATACTATGGAGACGGCCAACATCTAGGCTGGACATGTATTTCCTGCTGTCGTTTTGAAAGCGCGATAGAAGCCCAGAGCGCGATAGAATTCCAGGCCCCGACATGTTTGCGTACACTCTCAGACTGGAGGTGACCGTCTGGGGATCCGTTTTCCAATGCTCCCACCCATTCGCTGGCGATGATGGTTGGATCCGGGTGGAGACAAGGTGCATGGACGAATCAGCCAACGACCAGTGCTGTGCTTCATTATTCCGGAGAGAAAGGTTGGTGAATAGTCTTAGTAGTTGACATAAGATGTCATCAACACGGGTCGCGACAGCAGTTTCCTTGGGAAGACCGTCGATGACGTAGTCACAAGAGCATCCAGAGGGAGGATGCAGGAGAGACAGGAAGACGAGGCCTTCCATGGGATACTCCTCATCATCGATTGTGAGAATGAGCCGTCGTAGAGATTGTGGCAATACAATGGGAGGAAGATCGGTTCCGATCGAATCGAACGGAGATAGTTTTCCGATGTCAAGTTCTTCGAGCATATCAAGGCTGACCAGAGCTACGCGAAGATCATGATACGACGAGCGGCTCCCACCATCTCTGTGCACTAGCTGAAGATGCGTAAGCCTCGGTGAAATGATAGGTGATCGCCATGGCACTTGGCAGTCGTTCAACGATAGTGTTGAGACGTCACTGAGAAGGCGTAAAGGTGCAGGTATCTCGATATCGTCTCCATAGTCCCAAGGGAATATCTCAAGCTCTCGCAAGGAGCTCATCTCTTCTGGTGGAGGAAGGCGGGCGCCAATAGCGTCGATAAGTTCCGGTGTTCCCGTGATATTTATACGTCTAGCGCGTCGGAAGAGGGCCGTAGACAACCATGAGTCTAAGCCAGGATCTTCCATTAGATCGTCAGTAGTGCCTTCCCAGTGTATCTCAATGTCCAATAGCTTCGAGCGCAAACGGGGCAATATGAGCGAGATAAACTGGTGAGGAAAATCGAGGACGTGGAATGACGACCATGACCACAACGAAGGAGATCCAATTGCAACCTATCATGAAGTTGTCAATGAGAAAGCCCGTACAATCAGAGCTGAGTTTGACGTATCACGCACCTCTCTCCATAAGCTGCAAACCTGAGTAATGTACATCCAACCAAGGTCATAAACGCGTCTGGAGGCCGTATACTCTTTCATTCGTGGTCGCCATATTAGCTGGAGGTTGGCAAACACGTATATGAGGATCTCAGGCGGAAGATTACAGACCACGGACTTCCTGTTGCGCATCTGACGTGCTCGACAAAGAGTGAGCTCCAACACGTCCAGTTCTGCGTCCATAGTCTGTAAGTGAAGCTCGCGTGGGATGCCTAGCAGCGCGTTATCCGTGAAGCGTGGCAAGAGCAGCGATGGAAGGGATGACCTGAATGTAGATCAGTATAGAGTCAGGGAGGGATAGTGCCGAGTCTCAGAACGTACTTCAACGATGGATTGTCCGGCATGGTGGTGGTGGCATAGAGAAGTGAAAGGATTCACGTCCCGCGCATGAGCTATTCGCAGCGTCGAACGCGATCACGTGGGATTCGGCGTTCAGCGAACTTCGGCGCAACTCCTGCCCGCAGGCAACTTTGGCCGCGTCTGTCATCAGCCTTCGCGAGCGCAGATCAACTTCTCGCGTAGCTACCACTTGTATCGGGTAATTATCTCGACTTGACGGGTAAAACCGATATGGATGCTGCGAGATAGACACGGAGTCGTGTATAACACATCCCGCGACACTTAAAGCACTAATGACTGCATACTGGTATTATATCGCATTGGGAACTCTGAGCTCTAACAGAAAAGACTACCCGAGCTATGTCAAGTGGGAGATAATCGAAGATCCAATGCACGTATACAAAAGATCAGGTCCAGCTATCATACGGCACCACCGGCGACTCGATTGTAGGATAGTCGATGGCCGTGATCTTGAGCATCGCCCGAAGGGAGTGCCACATGGTCCAATGCCCAGCCTCTTTGGGAACGAGCAGCTCGAGCAGCGGCATCCGACTTTCTTGTCTCACGTGTAAGAGATCGATGAGGGCGATGATCATCTTGCTGTGAGCGCCTTCGTCTTTGGTGAAGGGTACTGCCAGCACCTCCAGACGCGGGAATAGCATGCGCGCCTCGTCTCCTTTGCTGCCGGCCTGGGGAACCCTCAGTGCATCCAACATGTACGCGAAGTCGTTGTAGGGCGTGTGCGTCTTGAGCAAGCCAAGAGCGCAAACACTGTCTGCGCGGAGTAAACGTGGCCAAAGGTGTTTGCGTTCGATGAACCGGACGGAGGATGTGTCGAGAGATATAGTGCGGAGGCGCTCTAGGGGTACGTGAGGCAGGTAGTCTGCGAGGTGAAAGTGCATTGGTGGTTCGTTCTTGGTAAAGTCGGTCGCGAAGAGAGTATTTGAGACGAGCTCTTTGGAAGGACGAGACAGTTGGTCAGACGACAACGGTGGTATGGCGTCTGACACGAGCCTCATTGCGTCACAGATCAGGTGTAGGTGCCGGATCTGAAGGTCGTCATTCGTGGAGAGCGCGAGTACGGGTAGCAGTTGACTCAGTGTATCGTTTATGAGTGTTATGTTGGGTGTGTGGTTGGAGAACCCGGGGAGTGCATGATAACGGTTACACCGAGGGCAGGTGTGGATCAGTGACACGAATGTCAGTGCATCCATTCCGAGCGCAGGATTGGTCATACAACTGGTTTTAAGCCTTTGAAGTGAGGCTGGCATTATTAGAGGAAGCTGCGATCCCGTGCGTCCGAAACGAGGCGCTATATTCCGCAGTTCGAGTACTTCAAGAAGCTCGAGAGAGGCTAGGGTAGCTCGCAATTTGTCGTATGGAGGACGGTGAACAAGATCGTCGTATCCCAGGTGAAGCTCAGACAACGCTGATGATAGAATGGGAGTGTTCCACGGTATGTGGTAGCCTTCTAGGGATAAACATGTTATCCCGCGTAACATCTGCAAAGATGGCGGCAATTCCAGGATGGTATCTGGTTCGCGTTGTGTCATGTTGAGCGTATGCAACCGTTGCCACTGTTTGGGTAATTCGAATGCCAGAAGGCTAGCTTCCATATCATCTTCAGCGACGATCGTGAGACCGCTCGTGCGTCGAGATATCGCGGGGGATAGCCAAGCTTTCACTCCGGGGTCCCCTTCTATGTCCTCGGAGCCGCCTCCCCAGATGACAGATAAGTCAAGTGTGCCTGAGCGAGATCGAATGAGGATGTCCGTGATGTATTGGTGCGGGATGCTGAAGACGTCGAGCTTCGGTCTGGTCCACAACGAGGGCACATCAAGTGCGACCTGAACGTGCACATCAGTCTTGCGCATGCGACAGATAGTTGATTCTTATGACACGCACCTCTCTCCACACGCTACAGACATGACTAACCGACATCCAGCCTGCATAGAATCTAGGCTTCGCTTTGACGTACACCCGGCGTGGAGGCCAGAGGCGTTGAAGGCACTCGAAGATATGGGCGATAACCTCCCGTGGAAGATTACAGGCTCCGGCTCTCGAGTTTCGCATCTGGCGCGCTTGTCGGATGGCTAGTTCTAAAGCAGCCAGCTCCGAGTCCATGGTCCGCAAGTGAAGCGAGCGCGGAATGGCAGACAGCGCATTCGTAGTGAAGCGCGAGGTAACCAGAGAGACCAAGGACGGGCTATGGAGGTATGGCTCAGCATACAAATAGAGTGGGAATCGATATGGGATCTGACTTTGGCGCGTCGCTCGCCATGAGGATGGCGGTTGAGAGAGAACGTGCCGGTCCTCCGCGACAAGTTCTCAGGCGGCCCCGTTGTCATCACGAGTTGCTTTTGACCACCACCTACGTATACGAGACGCTCTCCTTTTAAGCCTATGATCACCGCATCAACAATGAATGAACCACGCACGGAAGCAACGTGAGTCGTGCGCGGATTCAAGTCTCGTTATATCACGCATTGATGATCTCGGCACAGTAACCCGGAACACCGGGCGCAACTCGAGCATACGAGACTCGTGCCGACAGGCCTCGATAGTACTCGTGACGCATACCAAGGGCAAATGGAGGAAAGGAAGGGAAAATCTCGTGCTGGAGAGCTGCACAACGCGCCTACTTTGCTACTATCACTCCCTGACGAGCTCATCCTGGATATCGCCTTCTACGTGAGAGACGCGACTTTTGGGAGCGCCGCACAGCCACAGCACTATCCCTGGGATGTATCTATGACTGTATGTCGCCGCCTTCGAAACATCATTACCAGTTCCTTGTCCCTTCATACCCGCCTGTCAAACGTCGCACATTCGACGGATTATCTCGAACGGTCACTCGCACGCTCCAACCCTCTTCCTATGGACTTATTCATCTTGGATCCATCTCAATACGAAGGGGACGGGATGCACCGATGGATGAACATTCTCCAGTCCCATGGTCGCCGCATCAGGGTGCTTTCATGTCGGATCGTCAACCGCGATGGCAACGGAATTGCAAGCTGGCTGCCCCATTTGTCTCACCTGAGGTCCTTCTCCTTTCACTACGACGTGGATAAAGCCACGCGACGTGTTACCCGCCTTGCGCGGACGATGGAGTTGTCGGCCTTACTCGTCGCACTCACGGCTGGTGGCGTGCCTAAGGTGGACCACCTGGCCTCACTAGCCATGGACGGGCTGCTTCCACCTTGCGGCATTGAGACTCACACGACGTATCAGAAGATCATGGTCTTATCGTTGAGCAACATCTACTTCGACATCAACGACTTGGAGAGCTTTAAGGCCATTTCGCTCGCTGCGAGTGGCCTCGAGAAGCTTGCCATACGCCGTGTTAATCTGAAGATATTTGCGAACGAGTCCTCCCTACCGGTGCTCGATGCCTCGTCGTTTCGTCTTCCAACGACACTTCGAGTACTCGAGTACTCAGGATCCAAACGAGCAGAGTTCTTCCTGCTGCAACGAATCATCCCACTTGATTCTGCACGCCTCGTCCTCACCTGGCACGATCCGACGAAGAAGTCCGCGCTTTGCATCCGCACTGTATTGTGGCATTGGATGGGCCCAGAGCATTTGGCGAAGGAAGCCGCCCTGCGCGTGACCAACAAGGTGGCGGGTGACCGTCTCCAATATGCGACACGGCTCCGGCTATGGAGCACCTGTAAGAAGAAAGATGCAGATCGACTACCGGATATAGAGTACAACGGCCGCATTCACAAGACCGATCCATTCGAGGACATGATGGCTGGACCGTCCTATGAAAGCCTCCGCCGGCTGAGTCTTTGCGTCGACGAGACGTCGTACTCCCTCCTTCAAAACTGGAAGTACGGGCTCGACTCGTGGACTCCAAGTCTGCGCCATCTAAGCATCCTTCTTCACCCGGTGTCGGAACCCCGCCTCTCGAACGAAGTGTTCTACTTCTGCGAGTGGCTCCGTCATCGCCGTGCAGTGACCAGACGAGCGCTGCACGCGCTGACTATCTCAAGGGAGATGGTCAATGCACTTGACCGGTTAGCGCCATCTAGACTACAGGATTTCGGTTCACTCCGAACGGGCGAGCAATCAGCTCCCGAGGACGTACCCTCGTGGAGAGACGCTGTCTCTAAAATCCACATCGTTTCCATCAGATAGCGAGCGGCACTGTTTCCTGTAGCTGTATTGGACTACTCTGGGTTGCCCTTCAACTTCTTACGTACACTACATATATATAAGCTGAACATCTTGTATGGGCGGTATCACAAGCTATTCATACTGCATACGCCTGCGCCGTACGGATGACTCGCTCCGTACTAGCGCGAACTACATGATGTGTCTTCTCATCATCGCGTTGAGAATAGAGCGAGCCGTCGAGTTGAGAGTTCGGGGTATGTGCTTCGCCGGCCGTGGACATTGTGACAGGCACGGCGAATACCACCGCATCAGAGGCTGACGCGCGTTCCACGCTACGTTCCACCAATGAGCCCTGCAACGCTACAAGCATGATCACAAGCGTTGGGTACATTCCCTAGCATGCGCTCTTCGTGAGCTCTCGAGCTGTACCATCGTCATCGAGGAACTCACGGAGATGGTGGGAATGAAATAGCCAGCCCAGTAGAAGGCCGTCTCGGCCCAGGAATGGATGAATTCGGCATATATGATTGCATGATAGACCTGCGGGATATAGTGTTAAGTAGACCATCCTCGACGGAGCGGATCGTGCCCTACCCAGAGAGCGGCATAAAGGAGTCCGGACTCCACGACGAGAAGCATCATAGATATGCTGCGGCGAGAACCCGAGACCCCGGCATACTGCTTGACACTTCTACGATGTAGCCTGCCGTAGCGCGTCAGTCAGAGGTGCGTAGAAAGCTCGTTGCAACGTCAACGTACCATGCTTTGTAGCTTATCATTCCCGCAGCCAGTACCTGGCATGCAGCAGTGCCCACGAAGGTAGTAAGCTCGACGATCTGTGCGATACCTTCATTGGCAGGAGCTATATCCGTGCCCAGGTCACCCTTAAAGCTGGTAAGGTAGATCGCGTAAATGGACAACGCTATATCGCGTGAGAAGCTACTCCATTTCTGTCATGTGCATGCAAAACGCACCGGTTTCCGCCATGCCGACGAAGACGAGCAGCGCCAGGATCCAGCGCGCACGACCGTAGATGACATAGACTCTCCACATCGTGATCATATCACTGATTATCATCTACAACGTTGTGGAGAGTCAGCATGGACTGCATGAAGTTCAATAAGCACCTACCACGATGGGAGTTAGAAGGTTCTGTATGTTCTGTATGGCGTCGATCGCTCGCGCGTACGCGACCTCGTTAGCGCTCGCGCGCGCTGGTACGAGCTTGGCCGGTAGCGCCAGGTACAGCTCCGCCCAAAGGTTCCAGACGTCGCCGGCCCAACATATCACTGTCAATATGTATAGACACAGCGAGAGTGCAAGACTCCAGCTGAGTATCCGCGAATGAGACCGCCAGCGCTGGAAGACGAAGTACAGCATCATGACCGTGAAGATGGCTCAATGACGAGATGTGAGAGTTAGTTCCCATCCGGTAAAAACGAATGGTCAATGTCTTACCGATGAGTGCGGTCTCCAGGAGGAGAGGAAACGCGCTATAGTTGGCGATGTCCATGAGGACAAGGTAGACGTTTTCCAAGCGAGCGTCGCATGTCTCGTTCGTAGCCATGGCACGAGAGGAGGTGCGCTGGCGTCGCCCTTCCTGCATTGGCCCTGCGGCATATATAGTCGAGACTCCCAGCCTCGCCGCGGTATGCCAGATCAGACGATAGGCCCATCAAATGGTGCATTGCACCTGAAACACGAGCGGCGAGCGGCGACCTAAAGTTGGCGCTTCGTCCAAAGCGTGTACCCGCAGATGATGTGGCGCTCCGGAGGTTCACAAGCGCAGAGATGATCAGCGTGTAGTGCGACGAGAGTGCAGACGCTGTCGTGAATGCGACGATCCGGCGAGCATCGACGTTCTGTCCGTATTTTGCGAGAATGGACGGGCACCGCATGGCATGGGGCTTTCGCCGGATGGGGAAAGGCAATAGTAATGCCTCCGAGATCCCAAAGATGCGGTGGGACAGAGAAGGACAAGGACAGGTGTAAGGTTTCGGCGAGACACCCTGGTCAGGATTCAGAGACCGAAAGCACACGTAGGCCTCAGCCGTCGCGCATCATGGTGGAAGTAGGAGGAATCGTGTTCGCCTGCTCGACGCGCCTCGTAGGCTGCAAACGCGACCACGTGAGCTTGTACACAGACGCGAGTGGCACCGAAGCGCCCGAGGCGCGCTACACGCCGGGATGCGCGGATGTTGGGATCACGAGAGGGGAACGGGGCGTGGCCTTGGTTGCCATGTCGGATTGGGCTCGGCGGATGAACAGAGTGAGTTTGGTAGTTTGCTTGGGTGTCGTGCGGGTTTGATGCCATGGCGATGGCGGTGGCGGTGGCGGGCGCGGGCATCTTCTCGACAGCGACGAGCTCATCTATATCCTCCTCACTCTCGGCCTCGGCTTCGAACTCCTCGACCTCACTGTCGACATCCTCCTCGCTTGTGTCTTCCTTCATCTTCGGACTACGAAGCAACGGCACATCCACTGCATCAGCCGTCTTCGGCAACGGAACCTCAACCGCCCCCTCGGCTTTTACTTGGTGCACCTCCAATTGAACCCCTTGAACTTCTATCGCCGCGCCCCTCTTAGTAGGTCCGAACGCTGCCCTGTTCTTCCGACTCAACGCGTCGTCCCACTTTCGCTGGCCGCCGCGGTGAACGATTTGAGCGTAAACCTAGACGCAACATTCGCATTCGTCTTTGCTGACTGCGAAGGCGTAGGTAGAGTCGGGTCCGCGCGTTTATGTGTCGGCTCCGGAGCGTATCAGGATGATTTAACGGACGGTAACATTCTCCTCGTTTTCACCCCGCGAAAGAGGCGGACGAGGCATTGGAGAGATGCAATCCGGTCTTGGTCGGTCAGCCCGCGGCAGGTTTGGCAGGGTCGGGGACTCTCATGCGACGAGCGGAGGGTTTCGTTAGCAGGTGTGACGATTGAACGTGTGCGCGAGGCTGTCACTGCGGTGAAAGTCCCTTTTGCGGCGGGCGCGTTGAAGAGTGGGGCTTTGCTTTCCAGAACCGGTGTGGCAGCAGTGATGGTGTGGGTTTGAACGGCGGGGGTGGGACTATACGTTGTCTAGACCAGTTTGAGTAGATGTAGGCTTAAGATACCTGACGATATGAACATACCGGGTTGGGAATTGCCCATGACGCTCGTGGTCGATGGTGAGGGGGAAGCTTATGGCGCTCGCGAGCAACGACACGTCCGCCTTCGGTGCAGCGCCTCGGTCGGCTTCTCAACCGTCACCTCCTTCAGCTCCCACCCTGAGAGCCTCTTAGCCGGCACAAGCGCGGGCTTGATCGTCTTCCTAAGCGCGCGAGCCTTCGCCCGGCAGCTATTCGCCGCAGACGTATGATTGGAAGCGGCGTATCCGCGCGGGCTGAGACTCCGTCGACGGTTGCATCGCTTGCCCGGTCTCTTGCAGGCCTCAGGCGCGGGTGATTGGCAACACGCTCAATGGTGCGCAAAAGATTTTGACATCGGATGCCAAGCGAGAGGCGGACGAGGTTCGAAGACGGGCATAATGGTTGAGAGAGAGACCGCTCTACGGC